GTGAAGAGCTACAACGAGATCTCACAAAACTGGATGACTGTACAAAAAAAAAAAAAAAAAAAAAGGCAGATGAAATTCAATGCGGATAAATGCAAAGCAATGTACATTGGAAAACATAATCCCAACTATACATACAAAATGATGGGGTCTAACTTAGCTGTTACCACTGAAGAAAGAGATCTTGGTGTCATTGTGACTAGTTCTCTGAAAAACATCCACTCAACGTGCAGCGGCAATCAAAAAAGCTAACAATGTTAGGCACTATTAGGAAAGGGATAGATAAGAAGACAGTAAATATCATGCCACTATATAAATCCATGGTACACCCACACCTTGAATACTGTGTGCAGTTCTGGTCACCTCATCTCAAAAAAGATATATTAGAAATTGAAGAGATACAGAGAAGGGCAACAGAAATGATAATGAATGTGAGCTTCCATTTGAGGGGAGACTAAAAAGACTGGGACCGTTCAGTTTGGAAAAGAGACAACTAAAAGGCGATATGATAGAGCTCTATGAAATCATGAATTGCGTGGAGAACGTGAGTAAGGAAGTGTTATTCATCCCTTCACATAACACAAGAAAGAGGGGTCACCCAATGAAATTAATAGCCAGAAGGTTTAAAACAAACAAAAGGAAGTACTTCTTCAGGCAACGCACAATCAACCTGTGGAACTCATTGCTGGGGGATATTGTGAAGGCCAAAAGAATTAGAGAAGTTCATGGAGGATAGGTCAATCAAAGGTTACTACCCAAATTGGTCAGGAATGGAACCACATGGCTCTGGGTGTCCCTAAGCCTCTGACTGCCAGATACTGGGACTGGATGACAGGGGCTGGATCAGTTGATAGTTGTCCTGTTCTTTTCTTTCCTTTTGAAGCATCTGACAACAGCCACTGTCGGAAGACAGGATACTGGGCTAGATGGACCACTGGTCTGTCCCGGTATGGGCATTCTTAGGTTTTTATATTCTAAAATAGTTTGTACTGTCAGCTTTAATCTGTGTATCTTTAATGAACATTTTGGGCAAAATTTCCAACGGGATTTAGGTGCCTAAAGATGCAGATATGCACCTAGGGGGATTCTGAAAAGCAGCTGATGTGATTAGACTCCTAAGTGCCTAAATCCCTTTTGAAAATAAGATTTAGGCTCCTAAACCACATAGGCATTGTGATGCTGAAAACAGCAACGCTTAAGTACTTTTAAAGAGTGGAGCCTAATCTTTTAAACAGGCAGGACTCATTTTAAATAGGCCAATTTTGGTGTTTGAGGCCTAACAAATGTGGACAATGTCACTGTGACACAGAGGCCAACTCAGATCAAAGCCATGGACCAATTCACTTGTGGGTGAATATCAAAGAAGTGTTAATATTATTGTCTTCACTTACCTATAACCTGTCGTTTACTATCGCTTTACACTATGTATACCTGGTAATTAGATAATCCTAGATTAAAGGATGCGTTAGTATTAAAAAGTGAATGTACTGGATGTGTAAACTCCATGAAAACTAATGAAGGATTGTTTCTGGCTATCACATTATGTTTACGTTAGGTTTAACCATCACACAAGATTGAAGCCTTGGAAATGTAAAAGACTGCTAACTTCAAAGCATGGGTTGTTGTGTTTGACAACGGAAAGTCACCAGCTCAGTTTGTATTTAGTCCGCAAAGAGAGAGCCCATGCTGTGATGAAAACCCTTGCCAGATTGCTTTCCACAGAAAGCAGCTGTAAGGATGGATCCAGGGATCGAGCCTGTATCTCTGGACTGTTTGGACACTCATAGGGGAGCACGCCAGAAGCAAGACAGAGATCCCCAAAGTTATTTTGGGTAACCCTGAGAGGGGTATGGAAAACTCGCAAATCACTACATCTACACTATCATTTTGGACTTACAAACTTTGACTCATCTGTTAATGTATTTTACCTGTTTTAACCTCTCAGTAACTCTCATTTCCTTTCTTAGCTAAAAAACTTTTAGTTAGTTTACTAGAAAAATTGGCTACCAGAGCTACCTTTGGTGTGAGATAGAGACCGGGGTAAGTGACTGACCCTTTGAGGTTGGGAGTAACATAATGTCAAGTGATATTTGGTATAAGGGACCATTATCACAAAGTCCAGTTTGTCCGAGTGGCAAAATTGGCTGGACAGCCTAAGGGAACTGCTTGTGACTCCATAGTAAGGCTAATACAGTGATCCAGAAATTCACAATTGTTACTGGCTTGGTAAAATCCAATTATACCACCAGTTTGGGGTGTCTACCCTGTTTTCTGACAGTCTGAACTGAGGGCACGTCTTCACTACCCACCGGATCGGTGGGTAGCAATCGATCTATTGGGGATCGACTTATCGCGTCTAGTGAAGACGCGATAAAATCGATCCCTGATGGCTCTGCGTCGACTCCGGAAATCCACCGCGGCAAGAGGCGGAAGTGGAGTCGATGGCGGTGCGGCAGCGGTCGACTTGCCGCCGTCCTCAGAGCCAGGTAAGTCGACCTAAAATACGCAACTTCAGCTACGCTATTCACGTAGCTGAAGTTGCGTATCTTAGGTCGACACCCCCCCCCCCCCGTAGTGTAGACCTAGCCTTAGATTGGCACTCACAATTGTGAGCTACTCCAGACAGCATGAGTCACATTTTAAATATGGAGTTTGTATAATGCCAGCTACTTGTGGTATCTGATCACATTTAAGTTATTAAAATAAGTACTGAAGAACTGGAGGGGGCTGAGAGAAGAGTTATGAAAATGATCAAGGGCCTGGAAAAACTCTCCTAGGAAGGGACTGATACCTTACAGATGAATAATCGGAGTCCTGATAAAAAAAAAAATAATAATTACTGGTCTAAAGAAGGTGGATTGGGAGCATCTACTCTCCCTGCCTCACAACACAAGAATCAAGGGACATGCAATGAAACTGAAAGGTGGAAATTTCAAAAACAACAGGAAATACTACTACATGTAAAACTTAAGCTGTGGAACTCATTGCCACAGGAAATTGTTGAGGCCAAGAACTTTGCAAGATTCAAAGCACTGGACATTTATCTTCATAACAAGAATATCCAGAGTTCTAATTAAAGACAACGAACATTTTGTAAAGGATATTAGCCCTCAGAGACAGGGACAAAACCTGTGTGTGATCTGCCCATTGCATGGTTCTTACACCTTCCTCTGAGGAATCTGCTGCTGGCCACTATCAGAGGCAGGATACTGAGCTCCATGGAGCTTGGGTCTGAGCTAGTCTGGGAATTCCGATATTAAATGTTGCAGGGTTTGTGAGGTTTTTTAGCAGTTTCATTACTTGACACACCATAGTTGGACCATCCCATCTCCTTTAAAGTATTTCACAGACCTTTCTACCTGCAATTGTTCTTTTGCTAACTGCAGGAGAAGGTACCGCTCAGTAACTTAATTAGGGTCTGTTGGATTTATGAGCAGCTAGTGTGACAGTGTCTTCATCTCGAGATGAAGTTGAGCCAAGAAAAATTGAAGCTAGCAACAGAAGTTTCCTACAAGTGCGTTCTACTGCACTACCGAAAAATTGGGTCAGAGATGAAAGGAGCCCTATTAGGCTAGCTACTCCATCTCCCTGCTGCCAATGCTGGGCTGTTCCCTATTATACCCAATGGTTGGTTCTGTTTTTACATGTCCCAAATGACAGGGCTTCCCCCACTTCCCTTGGGAGATTATTCCATAGGTTCACAGAATTCACTCCACTGGATGGAATTCTCTGGCCTGTGCTATACGGGTCAAACTAGATGATCAGAGTGGTCCGTTCTAGCCTAAACATGAATGTCATGATCAGAAATGTTCCCCTTTCATCTCATTAGCCTTAGTTATACCCCACACTGTTAGGTTATGTCTTCACTCCAAATGCTACAGCAACACAGCTGCAACACTTCAGTGTAGACACCAACTACAGTGACAGGGAGGGATTTTCCCATCGCTCTAGTTAATCCACCTCCCGGAGAGGTGGTGGCTAGACTGGTAGAAGAATTCTTCCTCTGATCTAGGGCTGTCTACACGGGTGTTAGATTAAATTAACTCGATCTCTCAGAGGTGTGAGTTTTTCAAGTGTCCCCCCCCCCAGTGGTGGCTATGCAGATGTAACATTTCAGTGCAGACCAGCCCTTAGTTCCCTTTCCTTCCTTGGCGTTTACACACATTAAATATCTGCAGATTGCCACGCACCGCACACTCATCCCCTCAGGCACCACTTAACCAAGCTACATATAGCGAACGCTTAAACCTAGTCTCCCAGAGAACACAGCAGATGGGTCATTACTTAGGACAATGAAAGTAAGACTGGACAGAGCACTGGAAGAGATACCGTAGGAAGAGCTCTGGGTAAGAGACGGGCAAGACAGCCTAATAGATCTTTTCCATCTCCAGCGGCTAGGATGATCAGAAACTGCAAGCTCTTTGGGGAAAGGACTGGCCTTTACTATATGTCTGAACAGAGCATGGTAGATTGTGCTGCATTTCTTTTACTGGGGCACTCACATCTGACTTCATTTATACAATAATCATGTTTTTCAGTGATCTTGTTCCCTATCTTTTTCTTTCCACCCAGCAACTAACTACATCAAGAATTAAAAGTTGTAGGAATTGCCAAACTGGAACAGGCCAATATCCCATGCAGTCCAACATGCTGTCTCAACCAAATGCTCCTTAGCAGACAATAAAAAACACCCGGTGCATAGAGCCAGGCAATTCTTTTTTGTCTGAACGTTAAGACAGTTTGGGAGGATTATGCTGTAAAGTGCCCCGATTGGTTTGGCCAAGTGGTTTTGTGGGAGAGGGATGGAAGAAGCATTACTACTACTATGTGTCATTAGGGAAATTTTCTTCCTGACCCCAGCTAGTGGGAAGTTTATGCCCTGACTCATGAGGATTAACAGTCCAGATAAACAGTAACTGAGCTACTCCTTAACTGGCAGAGTCTGCTGAGGTCCTGTGGAGGATTTGTATGCAGGGCTGCTGCTTTGATGTGGCTGCTCTTACCTGCTGTAGGCACGGTAATGTTATACTGAGGTAAGATGAATAGGAAGGCAGTCTTGGCTGTCGCCTGTTAAAGACAAAACACACACCTGGTTAAAGTAAACCATAGTATTTTCAATGAACCAGGTACAGATTCCGCCCCCCCCCTCCTTCCAATATCCCAGTCAGAACAATCCACCCTGCAGGAACCGTCCCCACTGAAATCCCAGCTCTGTACGGCTCATGGCAAAGGGTCCCCTGTTTAGAGCCAGCTACATCTGTTTGTATCCCTCTGCCTCTTCCTAGCCAGCTGCCTCTGCTCCACAAAGTCGACTGCTCAGTAACCAATCACAAGGAACTCCATGCAGGAGACAAAGTCCAGTCCTGTCAGCAACCTCTTTCCCCCTGGGTCACATGTCCCATCCCCAATCACACTGCAGTGCATGCTGGTTAAGTCCAGATCCTCTGCCCAGCCAACAGTCTAAACTGATTTATGAGACTAGGTGGGTGGAGACTACGATTTGCGTCCTGGGCAAGGCTGGTACTTTCTGTCCAATCCAGTTTGCAGGTGAAGTCTGTTACCACTATTAGCTCCCGTTAATCATCGCAGCTCATTGCCTAGAGCAGATCCCTTAAAATCAGGGTTGAGACATACCAGCAGGGCAGCATGGGGGGAGGAGATTACGCTGCCCCGCTGCACCACTTCTGTGGGTAAACAGGAGGCATCAGCTGTTTCTTTGGGGCCTTCACCTTGCTGCAAAAGATTAAGCTTAAAAGGGAAACGGCAAAGGGGAAGACGGGACCACGTTCTAGTCATGATATCATATCATGGAGGGGAGTTAAACTGGATTTAAACTTAACTACGGAGCAACCATGCAAACAGCCGGACTAAGAAACAAAGCGCCCCATTGGAAAGCGCGGGGGGGGGGGGGGGGAAACAGACAGGTTGTGACGACTAGCGATCAGGACGGAATTACACGCCCTGCGCCCTTACGTGCCCCGTTTGTCCATTTGTGAAGTGCTCCCAAGTCCTTCAGGATGAAGCATGCTCCATTCATCCTTGCACGTTGTGATCACGCAAGATCAGTTCAATCTAAGGCTTTACACGGAGCCTTGTAAGGAGGAACCAGGATTTCTAGTCATAGCGTGACAAAGCCCCCAAAGGACTGAGCAATACATTAGGCTGAGGGACAGGCCCTCACTCACCCACCCCAGCCTCTTACTCTTAAAAAGGAGAGGAACCAGAGAGGGCTAAAGCATTATAGTGTTTGACTTTGAAAACTATTTGGTTTTAATCGGCTCCTAGGGACACCAGCACAGTACGTTAACTGGCTTTGGTTCACAAATGAATGCCCAGGCTCCTCAGAATAACCTCAGCCCTGTGCTGGGTGCAAAGCGCTGTAGATTGTAAACAAGTTTAGCCAGCAGATCTTTACCATAATCCCTCCTACTGGTGACAGACACAGGGATTAGCCATGCCAGAACCACGGAGGAGAGCGGCAGATGCTTGTTAAGACTCCTTGGGTGGGGAGGAAAAGCAGCTTTAGGAATCAAATGGAAGCTGTTGCAGATGGCACACATCTATAGATACATCCCGTAAAGTCCATGTTTTGGGCTGAGAGCCTGGAAAGCACCTCAGGGTTAATTCTATCCTGCTCGCAACACCTCAAGGATACCAGGGCTACGATTTTTCAAAATCATGTGTCTGTATTGTGCATGGTAACCTCAAGTGTCCATCCAGCATCTGTGCATGGTCTCTTTGCTCCTTGAAATCCCACGTGTGTTCGGTCCTTGGCGAGCTGGCTACTCTACGAGCCTTCTGGAGTTCAGGAAGGTGTGAAGGCTGGGGATGAGCAAGGGCTGCCCAATGCAGGGAGGAAGGCCAGAACTTACAGGTGATTATTCCCCTCTATTCGACACTGGTGAGGCCACATCTGGAGTATGCGTCCAGTTTTGGTCCCCCCACTACAGAAGGGATGTGGAGAAATTGGAGAGAGTCCAATGGAGGGCAAGGAAAATGATTAGGGGCCTGGGGTATATGACTTACAAGGAGAGGCTGAGGGAACTGGGGTTATATTTAGTCTGCAGAAGAGAAGAGTGTGTGTGTGTGTGGGGGGGGGGGGGGGGGGGATAGCAGCCTTCAACTACCTGAAGGGGGGGTTCAAAAAGGATGGAGCTCGCCTGTTCTCAGTGGTGGCAGATGACAGAACAAGGAATAATGGTCTCAAGTTGCAGTGGGGGAGGTCTAGGTTGGATATTAGGAAACACTATTTCACTAGGAAGGTGGTGAAGCACTGAAATGGGTTACCTAGGGAGGTGGTGGAATCTCCATCCTTAGAGGTTTTGGAGGCCCGGCTTGACAAAGCCTTGGCTGGGATGATTTAGTTGGTGTTGGTCCTGCTTTGAGCAGGAGATTGGACTAGATGACCACCCGAGGTCTCTTCCAACCCTAATATTCTATGATTCTATAATTCTGGAAGGCTGTGATTGGGCGCTGCTGCTGGATCTCAATCCGACCCTTGGGCCCAGAACCAGAAGAGAGGTGGTTTGCACTGGGAGCTCAGGTGGGGAGAGGTTAGCATGGCAGTAGAGGTCAGTGTGAAGTCCGTCAGGGGAGGGCGGGAAGAAGTATTAGTTTCCAGTTCCTCATTGCAGGAGCACGGAGCTCTGATCGCTCCCATGCTCTCTGGGACTCCAGTCCACGCTGCTCGGCTGGGGAAAGGTTGGGAACAAGGCAACCAGGCCATCTGGCACCAAGAACTAAAGGCTGCGTTTTCATTGGCGTTCAGTCACAAAATGGATCCATCTGCCCCCAGGCTAGCAGGGTCCAAGCGAACGACAGGCCAAGCGGGAGGTGTGGCTGCGACGCTGAGCGAGACAGGACTCCCTACGTCGCGCCCCAGGAAACAGAGCCAAAAACAATACCAGAAACCCGACCCTGAGCGAGATGGAAGGGAGCAGGTCCTGAAGCGCACGCTCCCAGAGCAAAGCCTGGGCCACCAACGCTCAACTGAGCCCCAAAGGTGGGCATGCCTGGGAGAAGGCAGCATTAAATCAAGCAATTCCACAGCTCTAAAGTAACAGAGCCAGAGCCGACATCCCAGGCTCTATCCTGACAGACCACAGCGATCAAATGCTATCGACGCAGCACAGCTACTGTCTCCAGGGCCAGCCAATCAACAGCGACACTGAGCACTTCAAGAGCTTTGCGCCTTCCATACATTGCATGGATGACAGTAAAGCCCGCAATGGGGTGTAGGCAGGCTGCCTGGGCAGAGATTGGTGCAATTCAACAGGCCTCATTAGAAGATGGAGTTGATTAGATGTATCCACTTGATTTACCATCTTCCATCCGAGGGTCTCTAACCACTTCCGTGACTCAAGCATATCACCTCTGGGAGGTAGGGAAACTGAGGCACTGAGAGGTTAAGGCAGGAATTTCAGTCTTGGGTGACTGAGCTACTAATGAGAAGAAGCGTGGCATAGCAAACGGAGAAACGGACTGGGACTCAGAAGACCTGGATTCTAGTCCTGACCGCAACTGGCCTGCTGGGTCACCTTGGGCAAGTCACTTTAGCCTCCCTCTGCCTCAGTTTCCCCATTTGTAAAATGGGGATAACCACCCAGACCTTCCTTGGAAAGCACTTTGAAAACTACGGATGAAAAGTGCAATGCAAGATCTAGGTATTCTAAACCCACTTATTCCCCAGATCCCGCCAAAGTGATTGCTTAATTAATGTTCAGAACCTAAATAAAAGTAGCTTGATTTTCAGAGGTGCAGAGCTCCTACAACTCCCACTGAAAGCCAGATCACTTTTACTGAGGTGCCTAGGTATGCACAGTGCTAAAGGTTAAGGCACATGTGCCTGCCTAAATAAACCAGTTGCTTAGTATAAAAGTAAACAGCAGCTACAGGTTTTTCCCGTCCCCGTCCCACTTCACAGAGAGAGACTATCTGGCTGGGGGAGAGACTGCAGTGCTAGTTCTGAACAGAACTCCTGGGAACCTTCAAAGACTTGCACATCCCAGAGTTTAGAATCACACCATACCCTGAGCCTCGTGCTGCACCGATTTGATGTGGATTGACCCTACAGCACACTACACACGTTCATGAACTGCCCATTCGGATCATGCCCCCATCGGGCTTCCCAAAGTGACAGTCCACTGAGATGTCACTTCAATCCAATTCTATTGTCCCCACAAGGCTATGGGAACCGGAAGTGCAATTCAGCTCAATGACCCGAATAAAATAATAATAATATCTTGCTCTTCCAGTAGATCTCAAAGCACTTTACAAAGGAGGTCAGTTTCATATTCCCACTTTACAGATGAGGAAACGGAGGCCCAGAGCAGCAGTGCCCAAGATCACCCAGCAAGTTAGTGGCATAGAACCCAGGTCTCCTGAGTCCCAGTCCAGTGCACATAAAAGGGTAAGAGTAACAAAGTGTTACGGCAAACCACACACGTGATTGCCTCTATAATGGCCTAGAATCATGGGACTGGAAGGGACCTTGAGAGGTCATCTAGTCCAGTCCCCTGCATGACCATAAATACCATACAGATCTCTACCCCAAAGAGTTTACAACCTTTTAGAAACATCCAATCTTGATTTAAAAGTCGCCAGTGATGGAGAATCCACCACGACCCTCGGTAAGTTGTTCCAATGGTTAATTCCCTTCACTGTCACAAATTTACATCTTTCCAGTCTCAATTTATCTAGCTTCAACTCCCAGCCACTGGATTGAGTTGTACCTGTCTCTCCTAGCCTGAAGAGCCCATTGTCAAATATTTGTTCTCCATGTAGGTATTTATAGACTGTAATCAAGTCACGTCTAAACCTTCTCTTTGATAAGCTAAATAGATTGAGCTCCTTGAGTCTGTCACTATAAGGCATGTTTTCTAAACCTTTAATCATTCTCATGGCTCTTCTGTGAGCCCTCTCTAATTTATCAACGTCCTTCTTGAATTGTGGATACCAGAACCGGGCACAATAGTCCAGCAGCGGTTGCACCAGTGCCAAACACAGAGTAAAATAACTTCTGCTCTCCTATTGAAGATTCCCCTGTTTATACATCTCCCGATCACATT